ACTCATTCATTCCAAACTTGCATAACACTTTGCATATTAAATCTTTCTGGTTAACAAAAAGTGTAGTTTTAGTTTTAATTATGTTTAAACCTAAAAAACATAAAGTTATTTCTTTACAGGCATTAGGGAGCAAATCTCTCATTTCAAAATTTGACATTAGTTTACCTTTTAAATTGATTAACTTATCCAAAGATTTAGAGAATATTACCAAATCATCAACATGCACTAAGAGGTAAGTATCTTGATTATAGTAAAGACAGGGATCTGACTTTGATCGTTGCAACCCTATACTTACTAAATGACAATGCAGCTTCTCGTACCAACATTTTGGTGCTTCGCGCAGTCCATACAATGCACGGTTAAGCTTACATACCACATTATTAAGATTAGAATTTACCTTTAGTCCTTGAGGTATGTTCATGTACACAGGCCGTTTCAGTTCTCCGTTCAGGAAAGCACACTTCACATCTAACTGACCCACATACATATCTTCTTCGAGGCACATCACTAATAACACTCGTAGTGTCACCATCCTAGCCACGGGTGCATACATTTCGTAGCTTGGATTGTTCTGCTGAAATCCCTTCGCCACCAACCTTGCCTTTTTCACTTTTTCTTTGCCGATCTCCTTTTCTTTAAAGATCCACCTTGAGTCGATTACTTTTTCATTCTTCGGCCTTTCGACTATTTGCCATGTACGGTTTTTCTCCAGAGCTTGTAGTTCGCTTTCGATGGCTCCTTCCCAGCCTTCTCCTGAAGCGATAGCTTCGTTGTATGACTGGGGTACATCATCTAATAAATTCCCTGCAGATAAGGCAGCAAAAAGATCTTCGTCATAGTCCATTGCAAAATCTTCGTATCTTTTGGGTAGATTTATTTTTCTCCCTGCTCTTGTCTTGGGTCTTGCATCAGTATTCGAATCTTTTATCGTGTCCTCGGTCATGTCGTTACTCATGTTGTTACTGTCCTCTTCAGATCTACTTCCTGACTCTTGGTCCAATTCATCACGCTCTTTTTCTTCTCGATCTTGAGGTACGATTACTTCAACATCTTGTGGTATATTCATCCTCTTCTGCATTGTTTCGTCGAACACAATATTTCTTGCGGAAACGACTTTTCCCTTTATAGGATCCCAAAGTCGGTATCCATTATCGGTGTAGCCAACCAAAAACATTTTCCGACTTCTCGGTTCTAATTTATTTCTTCGGTCCTCTGTCGGTATATGCACATAGGACGTACAACCGAACACACGGATTTTGTTGAGGTTAGGTTTTTGGCCATACCATATCTCAGCGGGTGTTGTTTTGTCGGGCAAAGTAGACGTAGGTGTACGGTTTATGAGGTAGACTGACGTTGCTACAGCCTCTTCCCAAAAATGTTTTTCCAAACTGGATTCAAATATTAGACATCGTGCCTTGTTCAATATTGTACGATTGAGTCCGAGATTGAGTCTCTCTGCCACACCGTTTTGTTCTGGAGTTCTAGGTACTGTGTACTCCAATTGCACACCCTTTTGTTTACTATGGTTTCTAAATTCGTGAGAAATATATTCTCCCCCGTTGTCGCACCTTAAACGTTCAGGCAATGTTTTGAATTTATTCTGAACTAAGGCTAGGTATTCCTTATACTTTTCAAATGCCTCACTTTTGTGTTTGAGGAAATAAACAACAGTGAAATGTGAATAATGATCAATAAAGGTAATGAAATACCTGTTTCCTGTGTGTGCGACTGGATTCAACGGTCCACATACGTCACTGGGCACACACTCGAGCAACTTCTTCGCTTTTCTCTCCGGCTCCAAGGTTTTGAAAGGATTTCTTGTTTGTTTCCCTTGCAGACACACTTCGCAGACCTTCGAAGCTGGGTAAGTCGAAGAATGACCCATTCTTCGGTGCCACAAATCTTGATCAATTCCCGTCACATTTGCCTCACATAAATTCGGTGAAAGCAAATTTAGAAAATATAGATTACCCTCCAATTTTCCTCTAGCCAGAACCCGATCCTTTCTACTCCTTATTAACACCTGGTTCTTTTCAAAAACGATCCCCATGCCTTTGGACTCTACTTTCTCTACCGAAAGCAGATTATGTGTAAGATTCTTGCATACTAGTACATTTTCTAACCTTACTTTTACGCCGTCTTCCGTTTCTACATGCAGCGTTCCCTCTGTGTTGGCTTGCACACTTTCGCCTTTCTTTGCCACATTGATATTACGTTGTACTTGTCGCTTTTCTGTCATGAACTGTTCAAATTCTTCAGTAACTAGATGATTTGTACAACCTGAATCCACCACGAATCGTAAAATCCTGTTGGTTTCTTTTCCATGGTTTTCACTCGACATGCAAGTTATAAAAGCCACTTCATCGTCGTTTTCCGTCACATTAGCTTTCTTTCCTTGGTTGTTCTTGGGACATTCGGATTTCTTGTGCCCTTGGACACCACAACCGTAGCACTTGTAGGGAAACTTCTCCGAAAACTTGCTTGGGGGAAACTTTGAAGGAAATTTCTTTTTCTTGCCGCTGTGACTCATGAAACTGCTCGAACTACCTTCGGCTGACTCTCCCTCGATCTGCTTGAATTTCAGCTCTTCGCTCAGCAACTTACTTTTTACAAAGTCAAGAGTTACTTTGCAGTTTTCTTGCGAGAACAGTATGTCGATGGCTGTGACAACACTTTGATATTGTGGCTTTGTGATTGACGCTAGCAGTTGTGAAATGATTTCCAATTCGTCCATTTTACCAACTGCATTTTTCAGCTCAGTCACTGTTTTTTCGAACTCCACAATGTAGTTACCCAGTGAGTCGGTTCCACTAAACTTCATGTTCCGCAGCTTCCTCTGTAGTTGCACTTGAGAAGCCACACCGGTCTTGAGATACGTATGGTTCAGAGTGTCTACGATCTCTTTAGCTGTGGTCTTAGCTTTGATCATCTCGAGAACGTTGTCGGCTAAACAATTTACAATCAGGTTTCGTGCCTTTATATCCTGCTTAACGAACTTCGCACGTTCTTCCACATCGGTAGGTGCTTCGTTGTTTAAGGTATCAAGAACCCCGTGATGTTCTAATAGCAGCCTCATTCTGAACTCCCAATTTGAATATCCCTGTCCGTCGAAGGGTTTAATGCCGATGGGCATGATGTTCTGAGACGCCATTTTCAACACACGCGAATGTAGGACACACGTTTTAATTTACCACTTTAATACAACTCTATCACGACTAATTCACCAAAACTACAGTTAACGAGACTGGGCCCATAACCTATAGAATGTCATTCAGGCGAAAATAACGTAACACCGAGTTTTCTCATTAAAGTATAATTGGAAATGCAACCAAAACATATCAAAACGTACAGTACAATGAACTGCTCTACTTCCATACAAAGCGCATAACATTTACAATGGAAAAATGCATTGCCACGCCACCTATTATAAACAAAGTTAAATGGTAATATATTACAGGGGCGCAATAAGGCGGAATTGTACTTCAATAGTTTATACGAGTACCTCGTAAAGAATAGGAAAAAAAGAAAAAAAAACGAATGCCCGAAGGTAAGTAAGAGCCGCAAATTAATTATTTGCCGCAAGTGTACTCCCTATTTTCTCCTAAAGTAAGATTAATTAAAGAGATTAGTTCATCATTCACATTTTTAATTAATCTTATTTTACTACAAAATACGAAGGTAATTTTTGGTGAAATCATCCCTTGTAATAGTTGAAGAGATCACAAAATACTATCGAGTAATGAAATAAAATACGTAGTGGTACTTCCATTTGACCAAAAAAGTTATGACACCATGAAAGATGGGAAATTTTACCATTTCAATGTAAACACCAACTTTCTCATTATCAAAGTGTTGTCCTTTACTCGGATTATCACTATTGCTCAAATTTATTTCTTAACTTCAATAAACAAGGTCGCTACGATTCATCTAAGTGTGACTTGCTTATGAGGAATTATTCAGAAAAAAATGAATGAGAAATTAAAAAAAATCAGTTATTTGTTTACACCGTACAAATGGGACACCCTGTACATTCAAAAAATAATTTCTGTAGATGCGCAACCATCTATGGTTAACATATGCTTATAAGGATTTTTTATATTTTTTATCTATAGTATGAGCTAGGGGAGACCGACGCATTGTTGCAGGGCCCTGTATACCTAGAGATCCATTTTTGAGACCACGACCATCTGCCAGACCATACATACCATTTTTGCTGAAAGTTACCAACAAAATTGTGGAACAGTTTTTTTTTGAAACTTCCACGTGCAAAGCAGCTAAGAAATATTACGTTTTTATCCTCCACCCACTACAAAAAATAAATAAGTTCAAATCTTTCCTCAAACCAGGGTGTCTTGGGGTTAGTACACTTGTTGTCTGTCGGTATTGTTTGCGTAGAGGGGTTAAATATCTGTGCAATGTTGTGTAACTAATGAAAAGTGCTGCACCAATGCAAGCTATGTTTAACAGTCGTCTACAATAAAAAGCTGGTTGTTCATAGAGCACGTAGTTTCTCGATTATTGACATAAATCGAAAATTAAATTTAAAACCAATAGAATATAAGCCTATAATTAAAGGAAAAAAATTACGTCGTAACTGATGCATTTAATTATTAATTATTGGTTAAACGTAAAAAATGCTGAATATTATTATAGAATTTTACCGGCACGCAATCATTAAATATACCTTACGGCGGGCGTACTGAAATCCCTCGAAATTATTTTTAAAATATTTAGAATTCATTTTCTTTATGCAAAGGAGGATCGTGAGAAATCACGCTCTAGTAAAAACGTGAATTTTCCATTAGATACAAAGATTGCAACGTAAGTTTGGATCGCCGCAAACTGGGAGAGATAGAGATGTGAGATGTCGAAAATATTCAGAGCTAATTTCAGCATTTTGTAGCCTGTGTGATAAAGGCTTAAGGGAAAATATTAAATCAGGCGACACATTTAGGAACAGTTTCTGGTATGCACTAAATCGGCAGCTGCTTCAGTTTTATTTAAATTTTGTAATAGTTTATTTTGATACACTTATACACTTTACTCTTTAGACAAGCTCATTTGCAACATCGACATTACAGAAATCGATGATAAATCGGCTAAAACCGCTTCCATATTTTGCAATGTATTAACCCGTAACAAGTTTGCTCTTCTAAATATCACGATTGTCACAGCCAGTAATGGTACTATTTCCAGGGAATCGTACGCCAAAATTAAATCCCACAAATACAGTAACTGATCTGGTGGTAGATGTCCGCTGAACGCTCTCATCATCCATTTGAAAACGACACGGATCCTAAAAAGGCGTTTGTTTGTACAGCGTGTCAGTCGGCATTACTTACGGGGGGATGTTGTTTTTCTTGAAATGGTGCCACAAGACTGTATCAAAGCACTGCAGAAGTCGCTCGTACAAGAGGCAAAGGCACACTATGCCCTGAGGATGTCCGCAAACCTTGTGCAATCTAAACCAATATCTCAAATAAAAGGCCCGAAACATAAAGTATAACTCGACGGAATCGTCGAATAGGTAACAGAAGGGGGCGGCTAAAACGAAATTGAGTGATATTGTCACATTATCATCATTCCAAGTGTACTCACCGTACATGGTAAATCCGTGAAAGGGAATGACGCCGCTGGGAGGAAAAGTTAGAGTGCTCTCCGGCACGGAGGACTTGCCTTTTAAAACAACCTGCATGTAACCCGGTTTATAGGGTAGTAACTTTAATACTTCCGGATCTCTAGAGAAGCACAACAAGACCTAATAATTCCTTTTAGTTTGGAGTGCTTAGACGTGAATGCATAGGTACCTGATGCAAGACGTCCTCAAATACGAAGTATTGATCGTCATTAGATGCGGTTAAATGAATGTCTTTGATGATTAACTTGTCAATCATTAAATCATACTGAAGGACGTGAGATTTTAGCTTCTCGTACTGCAGGCGATGCTGAAAAGAACCAGAGACATTAACTATTACATATATACTTAAACAGTAAACAAAAAGTGCTTTTCTAAAATGAGCAAAACGGTACAAATACGCAAGACCTAGAGCTTCTTCTTGATTACCCAAATTTAGTTTTACATGTTGAATACTTTTGATACTATGTTAGTGGATTGTAGGGTAAGATACTCTGGCATAGATTTCTGAGCCATAACTACTAAAGTGTAGGGTTGAACTAACGGTGTCGTTTGTGTCGGAGCCCAATACCAGCTTCCACATCTTGGTCCTCAAACTTGGTGGGCAACCCTTCTTTAGATATTCTTGAGCAATTGGCGCGTGATTAGTCTCGAACACCTTTTCGCCTAACTCGATCCGTTCGGCTTCAAATGCTGCGTACCCGCAGGACGCGTTCCTAGATACGTCAATTCCCAAGACAGCCTCCCCGTGTGATAGCTCTGAGTACAATATCCTCTAAAGATAAAATTAATGCAGTTAGTAGCAACAAATGGTGAAAGGATTAAGTACCTACCAGTTCGCTTAATTCTTTAACTTTGATGGGAATGTGTGAAAAATCCCAAGCCGGTTCGTCCCTGAAGCAGAAATAAAAGTGTATGGTAAAATGTTTTTGGGTAATTTGATGATTTCACATTTTAATAGTTGGTTAGTGGATTCTTCTGTTGTGAAATTTTTTTCTTTAAATGTATGGAACAGTGGAATAATTCATTTTTAAGGGCCGGTTTGTGTTTATGTCTCACGTTTCTGCCTTACTTGATAGAAAATAAACCCACAGTTATGAGGAAAAAAATTACTATATTTAAAAAAAAATTAAATTCAAATTCCACTGCACTTACAGTTTGTTTTTCTATTAATTACTCAATTAGTGATGTCTATCCTGAATCTTAATCCAATGTTAATCCGTGGCCACGCTTAGTTTTTTGCTACCTTGGTTTATATAAAAATTTACTTAATTAAATACAGCAATGATTTTCATGACTCTAAACAACCTACGATTAAGTTACCTATTTCAACCCATTCGCAGGAAAATTTGGATTAATTAACACAATTTAGGCAATCAAAATTAGTATTCAATACAGATTAGCTCCTGGTTAATGAGATTTAGGTAAATAACTTTTTATAAAATAACTTACAGTTATAAATTCGGTATTTTCTCCTACCGAGATGAAGAGGTGTGTTGTTTAGTGGAGAATGAACCTAATTATGCCCAACATTCTGCTTCGGATAGGTGACTTCTGGAGGTAGGTAGTTGATAGCTGAACCGTTTTACTGTCTATTAAGGAAAAAGGCAGTTCGTTTTCCCACACGCGTAATCCAAATTAAACAAAAAACTGTCGCGGATTAAAAGTGTCTCCGAAACGTTAAAACGTTAAACGTTAAAATTCCACAGTCCGTTGATTTGCAAAAATGATCGGGACAATTATTGGAAAAGATTGTTTTAAGGTTCCACTATGTATAAAAAAATTGGGAACACTCTTGTACTCCCCCAGTTTGAAAGACAAAGCATCTCTTTTTCTACTTGTTTATTTAATTAATCAATGAGTATGAAACCTACGGTGATCTGGTTTGTCATATTGTTTTGTTATCAAAAGAAGTTACTAAATACGGATTTTCAAAAAGATCGGATGAATTTTACTTAGTAATAACAAAGCGTTAATTTTCGAGATTACTTTTTACATTTTTCCATAAATAACAATAACAGTTGAAAATGAGCGTTCCGGGCCAACTGTATCTTATAGAAAATTTTATTCTAAACAAATTCATTTCTATTCATTTTTCCCCTCCGAGCAATAGTTAGCGAGATATTCGGAGGCAAATGTGAAAAAACACGACATTTTCCCATTTTTTCTTCGTATTTTGTTTATAACAATATGTTTCCGGCCAGGGGGACTATGATTTTCGGAATCAGCGGATTTTTTGACATAGGATACGCTTGGTGTCGTTGAGTGAAGTGACAACATCCAGCCCAAACCGTAATTTGACTGGACTAAAAGTCTTTCATGCGCTCATTAAAATGGAACGCAATTATTTATTCGCAAGGCACTTAATGCTTGATAACTATATCTGATGTTCCTTTAACGGAAGAGTAATACCTATTCACTCTCTGAAAGTACATAATGTATTTTTCTTACGTCAAATTTACTTTTAATTTAGGTAGTTTCGCTAAGGCCCAGTTTTTCAGTTACGGATTAATAGTTATTTATTATATAAAAGACGATAAAGGGATATTTTAACCATTGAGTGAAAGATGTTAATGCACGAGTGGCGCATCACAGCCATGAGCTCATCGTGTACCTCTCCAATTTGGTTTGGATTCAAGGAAACGCCATTAATTTGGAATTTATTTGTTCTTGTCTATGGAACTATAATTCTTCAAATAAAGATACATAATTTCTTAAGCAAAAGAGTTGATCTTGCTACAGAGAATAGAAAAGAACAATACAAAATCCAAGCTAAGTTAGATTCAACAAATTGGGTGGTTCATTCAGATCAATTTTTATTTAACATAGATACTTCAAACTCTGACACCTTTTCAAATGTTTAGAATTACTTCCATTCTTTAGTTTTCCTCAATTTTAATATTGGTGGATTAGTTCACTTTCTTATAATTCTTTAGTATCTCTAGATTTTCGAAGCCTTCGTAATTATCAGATTAATCGCATTGCTCTAGCTCTTCAGATTCCTTCTTTCTTTACATTCTTTCTTTTTTCTCAACTTTTCAAATCTTTTTGTTATTAAAATTTTATTTCATTTTTTCGGAAGCTTGATATTCTTCAGTTTTCCATGTTAATATCATTCTACAGATCAATGTCTCTTCAGATTATCAATATTCTTGTAGTTCCGTAAATTCTTCAAATTCTTCATATCCATCAAGCTTTTCAGATTCTTCCCTTGACTCATTTGATTTTTCAAATGCTGAACATCTTTATGATGTCATCCTATGGGTGCTCTTGCTTCCCGGATTCTTACGATTTTTGAGATTCATAAAATTCTTCCGGTATATGTTATTGAAGACAATACAAAATCAACTCTATCTTTCTAGGGCTAAATCTAGGTTTTTTAGTCTTTTTTATTATTACTTTTTGCAGATGATTGACAATTTTTTCACATATTACCTGTATTTCCGGTTGTGAGGAGTTGCAATTGAATTTAAATACTCTACATTATACAATATTCCTGGGAGGCTAACAAGCTACGGCAATTTACATTAGACTTCCGTCTTAATTCTACTATAAAACGATCTCCTTAAGGGCGCGCTATCAGTATTGTGTGTTGCCTATCTCACAATAGCTTTCTTATGGGAAACATGCCTAACGGAATTCATACCGTTTTTAAAAACTATACATTTTTTTTGGGAAATGTTTGTTGTTTCTTGTTCTTAGATGTATGTAAATTATGAGTGAACAGTTTATATTGCACTAAAACTCATAGCACATTCTCTGAAAGTGTATAAAGTAGACGTTCGATTGCAATGGCAATCTTTTGTGTATAATTCAAAGGTCAAAGAAGTTTTTGAAATATAAATTGTTTCTCCAGATTCTTGAACATATAAGGAATAAAACGTGATGTAAAAATGGATAATATGTGGTTTCTAAAGCACAAACGGTATGAACTCCGTACACTTGAAAAATAACTCGTAAAACAATTATAGAAAAGAAATCTGTGCTCAGTGTAGTTCAACGTGTATCCACTAAGATGGCTACGGTATACTATTCTTACAAAGCGGGAAATTTAAAGTGGAGTACTTATTGGAATGTATTAATGTATCTATTTTTTAGCAGTATAACTTATTCCTTTATTGGCTTTGTTGGTTATTAATGCAGATAAAATGTATCCAGCAAAAAACCGTACCATAAGTAGGAATTACACTGGTTAACGTTACCTACATTCAAAATTTGGGTTAGGAAACTGGCAAAAGAAGTATTTATAAACGTTGAGTTTAGGATCATGGGATTTTTCACTCTACGTTATAATTAATTAATATAAAAATTTCAGAGCTTACAACAAAAAGAGGTTATGTGGGATGGTGTTTCTGAATTGATAATACAGTGTTAATACTGCTTACGTTTACCAGACGAAGCGCTACTTATGGGCAAGAATACTCTCGCCCAAGTTGCTATCTAATAGCACTGTCGACTTGTACGATGGTATTTACACCTCGGAAGTGCTATCAGACAACTCTGCAAGAAATCAGTAACTGAAGATTATATATTTATTCGATAATAAATGTACACGTCACTTACAACTAAATTTAAGCACTATTAATAATAACGAAACCCCACCGATTGGATGCCATCTTGGTTCCCATAATTTGAATGAACTACATACTATCGGCATTGAATAATTCAATCGTTGAGTGAAGGATCTCAATGTTATCGGTATTATATCAAAATATGATTTCACACCCAAACAAATAACATTCAATTATGAGTTAGTATTGCTGACTTGCAAATCTGGTTTTCCTAAAAATATTGCGTGGATTGTCCTTTGTGATCATAAAGGCTGAGTATTCCTTAAGGCCGATTCACATTATTATCGGTCAGGTTACAGTCAGAACATGAACAGAACAGAAATACACGGTTACAATAATTGACCGCACCGTGTTCTGATCATGATGTGACCGATGGCCTTATATAAACGCACTGCAATGACATCGTTCGGTAAAATGATAATCGGAAAAAAATGTACTCGGTGTCGGAAGTCAATCTTCGGAAATGTGTACAGTCGAAGGATAGCCTAAAACAATCCATTAATAGAACTATATTAAAATAAAGATCCTCAACTTTACTTACCTAGGTAGGTACTGGTTTTTTTTGTTATTTTGCAGTTAATAGAAAATCAGGTAAACATAATCCATAACATAACCCAACTTTGAATGGCATTTCAGGAATTACAATTAGGCACTGTTATTGGCATTCAATTGAATTACTGAACAAAACCGCATATTATGGTAAATAAGTATTTTTAGGTAGAATTTATTTCGCAAGATCACTAAATTCCCTTTTTAGAGTTACGGAACGATATTTACAGTTACAGGTGGTAACCAAAGATAAGCAAAATGAAAATACTATTTTTAATTTTATCTCAAGACGAATGTATGCGAGTGTTAGCGACCTAACGAGGTACAAATAGGGATCGCGGATTCGGGATGGCAGCACAAAGCAACGAATATTTCAAAAATACTTCTTAGTTCACTTTTCTTACACCATGGCGTGCAAACGCACCCTTAAACTATGGGTTTTATTATAGGAACAAGCTCTGATTTTGCCAAACTGGACTATCCACACAGTGCTATATGCTTATTAATGAAAATAGTAAAAAATTATGGGGTAGGTGTGTCTCACCATTTTGCACAATATGTAATGATATGTAAAAATCGTACATATTAATAAACCAGTAAAAACAGAAAACGAATATAAATTATATAAAAGTCACTTTATGTTATATCTAAATTAATGTTGTTTAGGCGAACACAGTACCCACAATACTGATCACTCGAGGACTCTAAAAGTTTGCGTTCCTCTTTAAGCGTTTAAGATGGCAAATTTACACAGTGTTTGGACTTTTCCGATTTTGTAAAATTTTTAGAAAATTCGTACCCTACGATGGCATACCCCTTAGGGGGTCACTCAGTGAATCCCATTACAATGGAACGCTCAGTAGATGTAATTAGTTGCGGATAAGAATGTTTAACAAATACTCACTGTTTTGGTTTATAATTGGGCCCTTTCAAATTTAACAGCACCTCCAAGAAATCCTTGGGAGAATACACCGGCCTGTATTTGCTGATATCTACAACCAAATGCCACATAATCCAATTCTCGAGCTTTCAACTTACCAACGTCATAATTGCTCAACTCTCCCCATTTTTCCAAGAGCTCCTCCCGATCGGAATTTGTCCTCAATCTTGCCAAATGTATACCCAACTCCGTGCACATCGAATTCAACGACTTATGTATCCGTTTTTCCCATTGAATTTGTGCCTTCTTAAAGAAGCTGTCAAACATCGGCGGCGCCGGTTCCTTACTCTGTGACCGAACCCAATAGTAGACACTATTCCGCAAACGTGCTTCCAGTCCCGACTCTTTTAAAACTTTCGTTAACGAATCCCCGAACTCGTCATTTTTTACACTTGTCGAAGACACCACTTTCTAAACGGATCAATGCTACTCATATCCTTAATTTACAACCCCTCACCTGAACGTCGGAATATAAGCTCGGATACGAAGGCATTTGTTTAATATCTTCGCATAGTTTAACAGCGGTGTAATACACTCCCTTGTCTTTTATTTCCTCCATTTTTAACTTAACATACACCTAAATGTCAAAGAACTTTGAATGCGGTTAAATTACTACTGATTTATCTATCCTTATCGTAACTATGGTAACAAACAACATGTATTGATTCGCCTACCTTTCCTTGACTATTGTTTGGAGTATTAGATGGCAATAAATACCACTATTTTTCGAGAACGTTTCGGGCACTCATTCACTATGAATGTACTGCATGCTAATTTAATGCACGCAATATTTCAGACAAAATAGCAAAATATTGTTCTGTAAGTAGGCAAAATTACCATTATAAAGCTCTTCGGTGTTTCAGGCAACTTTTAAATTCCTGAACTTTATGAAAATTTTCAAGTTCTCCAGATATTATAATTGATAAAACGAATTTTATAATGCAGCTTGTAATTCCAGCCTTGGGATGGACATTTGCTTCAATTGGGTAATTCTTGTTCTCGCAGCAATAAAAGCAGCCATTTTTTGACGTCTGTTCTTCGGGTATTTTCTCTATTACCTCCTTATCATCTCAATTCCAACTACAAATGAGTATCCTGAAAAGATTTCAGGCGCAGCAAGCATTTTTATCTTCTCCCCATTTTTAAAAAAACAATTCCATTTCTACAACCTGGTGTAATATTATTTACCACGTTTATATAATTATGTCCTATCATCTCAGCAGTTTCTTCTGCATCTCTTTTTCTATTCCTGATATCTTCGTGTAACAACTTATGATATCTCCCTTTACACATCTGTCTTTCCTGCAGCTCCAGATCTGGCATATTGTTGGAAAAAGAACTTTTATAAAAATTAAACTACTTAGCAGCAGCTAAGAAGAATTACTTCGAAGCTGAATTTCGCCTCAAATTTCTATTATTTTAATGTATTTTTTTTGAGTGAGTGAATAAAGTTAAAGTTAAAGTTAAACTAGTCTGTTATGGTGCCTCATTATAAAAAGACACTTAGCTCTTGTGTTACGTCCACGGTCCAAAGACGAAATGAAAACCTTTGAGAATGAAAAGGAACTGTTAATTTGTCATTTATTATATTTTTATTATATTATATTATTGTCGTTTAAAGCCGTCCAAGGATTCTTCATATATGCTTCTATGCTTCACTTTGCGCATGTATGGCAACTTCTATAAAAGTTTTTTTTGCTAATATTGATTCGATTACCTTTACTTAAGTACACAAGGCAACAATCGATCTATAATTGGTTTTCGTGATGGATTTGTAGACAGGAACCAGGAAGTCTATCTGCTCCCTACTATTTTCCAGAAATTTGACTTTGACCCTATATATAATTTGCTATTACTTTTTCTTGACACTACATCGGAGCACACAGTAAACTTGACTTGGTCACGGTACTTTTCCATTGTGTTACGCACTTACTACGTTGCTATTTGCAGATTAATCTTGTAGGAGTGCAAGCCTATTGTTACTACAAAAGAATGCTACATTTCATATATTAGATCTAAAATTAGACACAACAGATAACGCGTCGTTATTTTCTACTACAACATCTTTGATAAAAGTATAAGCGACAGACAGTATTATCAATAAAAAATCCGTTTTAAAATAGACTATTTGTTCTATTTATAGAGCAATTTCACATAATGCGGGTCAAAATAGTACACTTTGTAAACAACAAATTAAAGAGACGCGATTTTCTAAGAGTTGATCTTATTGGAACTGCGAAGAAGACTTTTAATAATAGGACGTTGAAAGTTTACCAGATGCCCTTTTGCTTTCTGAAAAAGAAAAACTTAAAAACAAACAGATCTAAGCACGTGTCGTTTTTTTTATTTGAAGTATGGGAATATCCATTTGTCGGAATGAACTGTCACTTCTGACGTTTAACCTGTTCAAAATTAAGTAAAAAACCAACCTGTTAATGGGATGTTTGTAAATAATCTGATCGTATTCAACAAACATCCAGGACAAGAAAACCAAACAACGTTAAAAAGATAGTAGTAGGATATAATAGGTCCATTATTCAATTAGTGCTATGAGATTGCGACGTTAGTACGTGAACAGTACTTGGACTGGTCCTCCTGATCTTAATACATTATTTATTGCGTTCATCTCGGGGAATTGCTGCGAACATGATTTTTGCCAGGATTCCACGAATTTTCTTTTTTATATCTTCAAAACCGTTTAATACCGCCAAAGGTCTTTGTCAATCAGCCAATCTTAATTGAGTTGGATAACAATTAATAGGTTAACAAGGTTGAACTGACCCGGTTACATCGTGACTTACTTTTTTATTTGCCCTCGAATTACACATTTACGCAAAAATGCGTGTTGCAATTTCTTAATTAAATTGAGGTAAAATTGTTCGAAGTAAGAGAGTAGTAGAAAATTAGCTAAAGGAAGTATTTGAAATCGGATGTTAGAAATATAGGTCTGATTAGAGGAAGATCTACACAGCCAATTGTAACTTTGCATGTTTAATGTGTCTTTAACCTTTGATTACGGTTGCGGACTTGAGTACTCATCCAGTCGTTTCAAACAACGGCCACGTGAACGTACTCCCCAAGAGCATTTCCACACTCTTTGAGGGTCTCCATGTTTCGGGAAGCGAAAGGTATGTAACTTTGTAACGTCTTATTAGCTAATGCTATTGATGAAGTGGTTTAAGAGGCTGGACGGCTTGTCATTTCGCAGTTTTGTTAAAAATATTTATATGTCATCCATATACGAATAGAACGCGTTTCTTATATTATATAAAAAGACCGGACCAATTACTGTGCTTTAATCGAATTTGGTGTTACTCAAATCAGCTATATGTAATCATATAATCTGTACTGTAATCTTAAAAAGAATAGCCCGTCGGTTCTTTAATCATGTTTACGATTATTGAGTTGAAGATGGATTCGCAACTCATACTTGAACACTGAGAGAAAGAATTACTTGTAAGTACCCGTTTACGGTTACATTTATCCTAAGGTAACTTCGTATTCTGCCGAACTCACAGGCGATTCTGAGTAATGTTTCTTAAGGTACAAACAATTTCTTAGCGTTATACATCCGAATTATTACCGAAACTAAAACAATTTCTTATAGTGAAGTATCTTTTTTGTATGAAACTCTGCAATAGGTAACAATTAATGCACCTTATTTATGGGCAAACGTTGAAGTTGTAGTTGTAACGCATTTGAGATATAAAGAAATGTTTAGTACCTAAGTGAAAGGTTACTTGTTCTATATGTAACTCTACAATGGGTTAATAATAAATATACTTCGATTACAACTAAATGTAGAATTTTTAGTTGCAAGATGTTTGAAGTACCTATTTGTATTTGGAACTCTTTGATATCTTGTGTTAAGTGTAACTTATATTTAACACTACAAACATGATCTACATCATATGATATATTGTTTTACATGAAATGTTCAGTCCTTACACATTATGCATTTACTACCGAATGACTTCTTCTCTTACTTCAATTTAAACACAGTTGTTTTTAAAATCAAGTGAACTGCGTGCTTTCATCTAATGGATATCTTGATTGTTTATTATTGTTTAAATCTCACAGTAAACGTAACATCTACTAATTATTATACATGCATAGATTGGTCAAAAGAATTTGTTGGGTACCGTGTACGGCGATTAAAATAAATTATATCCCTTGTAAAATAGGTATCAATTTATTTTATATCTTAATTACAAAATACAAAACAAACAAACAAAAACAATAACTATTCTTATAATACAAAATACCTAGCTAGGTATATCCTATATCTATCATAATAATTTGTCTATCAGCATAACATCAATTGAATCGTTTATTATACAGTAGACCATACTATTAAGTAAAAAATATAAAATGTAAGAAATGTCCAGTACTGTAACATCGTAATAAAACGTTTATTGATTTGTTTGATATTATTTGAAAGTAAGTAAGTATTGCAGAGATCTTATAAACAGTACCTATACAACAAGATCAACATGGCTGCTATACCTACACATTGCTCAACGATCTGTGAAAGTAAGTTTTGTTTAGGAGCGTATATAAATTATACCTATGATTTAGGTTTAGATACTTACCCTGAAATGCGGGAATATATATATCATAACCCCACGCGTTTGATAGTGTTTTAAATTTCAATTGATAATTCCATATTATAAAACACGTCGACCAAGCTGCACAAGTTGTAAAGCACGTATAATGAATTGAAATGGCAATGACAAAGTGACAACTATGTCACTATATTTAACAAAACCTAATCTTTCTTACCAGGAATACGTTTGATTTCTGTTCACATTCAGTATACTTGAATAGCACTAACAGATTTTATAATTAATAAACATGCTTTAAGATTTATCAAAAGTATATGTATTACATTTGAAAAGCACATTTGAAATAAAGGCATAATTTGTTTGTATACGAAGAAAAACATATTGATCCTTAATATATTAAGATACCTATGGCCTCCAGTAATTTAAATTCACATCTAATTCGTGGTGTATTACGTGTAAATGTTCCAAGAACGCAATGGAATAGCTCCAAGACATTACGCCTTGCATTATAGCATTGTGAAATATACTATAAGATTCGAAAGTTCCCTACAACCATTCGTAAGTTAATAATTAGAATAAAGTTGATTGCTGGAATCGCATTATGATTTATTTACCCAGTATATTAAAGATACAGAAAAACATATTTAGTTAGCTTTAAGGATATGTTCATCTAACAAGTAAGACGTAGCTAGGTTGTTTTTAAAAATTGGCACCATGTCCTTATGCATACCTTACTATTTATTGGTGTCAAGAAAATGGTTTTACCGTAAGCAGTATTTGAGTCAATCATATAATTTTTTGTCATTGGGTTATTATTATATACATATATTGTCTTATTACAATTATTCAATTGTTATTATTTAGAGTCAAATGCTACAGGCAAACTTTTTGGGTCGAAATGTTACTATGTTAATAATAAATGCCTTCTTTTCTCTCAGTGAACTATTATAAAACTTCGCACTACATAAGGTGAAAAAAGAGAAACTACTACACTTTGTAGCAGTTGTCGTGTTTTTACCAACCAACTGTTGCTCTGTCTTCTAGCACACTATACTACATAAAATTCCAGTTGCTATAACACAATTCATCCGTAAACCCAATATTTCCCAATACTGAACCAAATTAAGTACTAACCGGCAAAATGAAAAGTTAAAATAAAAAGGATTTGATATCATTAACCTCGTCATTAACCAAAGAGGGTATTTAAAAGCTAACGTAGAAAAAATTATAAACTTTATAATCATTTCAAAAAAGAAGTTTAAAGGTTTACAACCCTTACACGTTTCAAAATCTTGTATGGGAAATCCATGGGATAAATGAGCTCCTATCAGATCAATGTATCTTCTGGTTTGACCGGAGTATGACACTTTTTGTCATTTTAAAGGGGATGCAGTAGTTCCTTTTAAGTTAAGGTTTAGTTGAATTTGAAATTGCTTTTGAAATGTAACCCATGCTTTGCGTAAATGACACCTAAGTATATGTATATTTTAAAAACAAACCTACAACCCGGTTTTCCTTTTTATCAATGCATTCTGCACTGGAAAATAAGGACAGCTTTTAATTATACCGTTCACATAAAATTATAGATTTACAGAGAGTAGACTATGCAGCTATTTTTAGCAAAGAAAGGACCAACCAACAAGTATGTTGTTTCGAGACGCCGTTGCACATTACTATTTGAGAATTCTAAAGCAAATGTCAACTGAAAGTCTAAACCGTACAATGAAAACGACCAGAATTTCACTAAATCTTCTGCGTACCTAGTAATTAGATCAGAAAACATGGTTTCTTACCGTTACCAACCATAGATTCCAACGATTTCGGTCAGTTAAATCCTTATTAATTATTAAATGAATGGAAAAGGCCAGTGGGAAAGTATCAGGTCTTGGAAAAATGTCAGTTTCAGTAAATACAAGTAAAATGGACATTGAAAAAACAAAAAATTAATATTTTCACGAAATATTCATTAGGTTTCAATATCGGAAGACAAACAGGTTTTATACGCAGTACCCACCTTATAATTATGCTTTGTGAATAAGTAATTAAAGCCTTTCAGAACTGAAGCATTTAATTTACTTAAATGAAAATGATACTTTGTATACATTGCGATACGCGAACAGAAAACAATGGGATCATATGATGGAACTAATTTTTTCGCAAGGTTTAAAAGTTTGGCAATATTAACTGGGGTTCCTTTAAAGGAAAATATTGGTGTGGTCGAAGGAATCTGTTTATGGTTATTGCCAGGTCTGACATACTTATACATGGGTTTAAACTTTTATAGGAAGTGGAGCTTAACTGACGATATAGATGATTGCATGTATTCAATAGCGATTGCGACAGGTAAATTATTATGCTATAATTTTTTCTTAAGCAACATAGTACTTATTTTTTAGCTGCACCATTTATTACGATAATGAGACTCCAAAGACGAAGACTAGTTAACCTAATAGCGTTGTTGGAAGATGACCGAACCGTTGATATGCGATTTCATACTGAATCAATACCGCAATTGCGGTTAATTGCTAATACGCTGGTTCGTTTCAGAGGTTGTTTACATTAATAAAACCATAATATCTTTAAGGCTCGCCTGGCGTTTCCAGTCGTAATGTTCATTGATTCTATTAGTTTTATCGCGTGGTATCTATCAGAAAGTGAAAAAAGTTTACCGTATGGTACAATGCCTAGTTGGGCATTAGAACACAGTTACGGAATGTGCTTAGCTTTCCAAATTGTAGTTTACTTTTTTCTAGGGATAGATTATGTTATGCTGGTTGCCATGAAATGGTGCGTCTTGTTGCACTTACGAATACATTTTAAGTACTTGAACATTACTATCAAAGAAGCTACAACAATTCAAAAAGGGGAAGTTTTTGATGACAATGAATCAGAGTTGTATTCCAGTAACACTGCAGCACGGTTTCCTTTAAACGAGCACGTTAGAGGTGTTATCGCGAGATACAGTCGCCTAACTTTAATTGCTACTGAAGCCGAGAGAGCATTTAATAAGGGCGCTCTAAGTAATTTTATTAATATATCGATTTTTGTTTGCTTTGTTCTGTTCCGGATGTCAAATGTAGGTAAACATCAAGTCTTCTGAATTTTCGTCTAATTTACCTTTTTAGATACCTATATTCACCATGGAGTTTTTGAAACTATTTTGGTATCTACTCACAATGTTATCAATGATATTCCTAGATAGCTACTTGTGCAGTCTGGTTGTTGAAGAAAGTGAATCGCTGGTGTATTCTTGCTACGAAACTGATTTTGTTGATAGAGATCGAAAATTTCAAAAAGCTTTGGTATTACTGATGACTAGAGCACAAAAACCTGTAATTTTTACAATTGGAAATTTTGCACCCCTTTCCATGGAAACAGTTATTATTGTGAGTAATGTAACTGAACAATTGAGGCTATTTAAATATACATTTAGGTTCTAAAGGCTTCAGTGTCATACTTTATGCTATTGCGCAACGTTAGAGGTGAAACTTCATAAGAAATTAAAAAAAATTGGGCACATTTCTCTCTGAGAATAGAAGAACTTTACGTTTTATAAGGAGATTTCATTTTAGGAAATTAATGAGATTCCAGTTTTGCACATCGACCCACTAACATACCAAGTACTGTCAACATAGTGTTATACCACAACGTGATTGGTTATCTTGAAAGGAACACTATTTTAATCCACTTCTACAATACTATCTGTTTGCACTGTTATTCAATTGTTTCAAAATAAAGAACAAGATTAAATTCGCTTCGTTATTCTTGGGTAAGATGATATAGAATATAGGTAATAGAACTACCCATTTTTTGTTGCGCATCCTTAGAGCTCCGATGTTAGTTAAAATGAGGTGCTAAATTCAAAGCCGAACCTTAAAGTGAAAGCACATTTGGGACAACTCTTTAGTTTTCATGATAAATAATTGGAAATAGTAACTTCATTTCACATCTTAATAAATTCAGTTTGGGATATTCTGTATCGTAGGCAGGTAACCATTTTTTTTCTTTAATTTCCACGTAAAGGTTGATTCTCACTATACGTAACGTTTCCATACCATATCCATTCCATAACCATTCCGTAAATTATTATACCTATGAAATTGAGTTGGTTGGTTGAGCTCCACCCAATTTCTAATGTACACTATCAACTCACCCTGCATAAAATTGGGAAGATACAGGATGCACAATAACCACAAATGCAAATCAAATGGTTCTATATTGCTGGTTGCTTTCAAATAAATTGCAAAATAATATATAAGTGAAATTACACACTGCACAAATCATAAAACCCCCTAATTAATTCCCAAAAATTATATTCCAGTTCAAAAAAAAATGATTGCCCCCAATTACTGTTCCTTAATGATCGTTTAAGATTGATAAATGAATCACACATATAAATGACAAAATGGTTACGTTACTACCGGTCACAAATAGTAACGAAAATATCCCAACGCAAGTTCGGTAGCAACAAGGCAAATAAAATACAACGCTTACCTTACGTAATATTCCAGATGTGAGGCAGCAAAGAGAGCTCTGTTGCACCATTCATCTCTGCAATCAAAAGAGAACAAAAGGGGTCTAAACCCCAGGGTTCGCAATATATGAATAAATGTCTGAAGGACCTACGAAGCTTGCGGTAAGCTCAAATCTCGGTACCCCGCTAAAAATGTCTGTGTCTCTGATGGAGTGTCGCAGCCACACAAAAATTAATATATACGATCAAGCAAAAAAAAAAGCATTCTCGATCATGTCGAAACAGTAGGTAGTTAAATGAGTTTCTCCCTCGTTTTCATAAAATGGACGCAGAACATTAGAATAAGCCAACGCTAGCCGACACTAATGTTGCATTATCCGCATAAAGCAAACATGAAACTTCGGCTGAAAAGCAAAGTGGCAAGTCGTGAATATAAGCGAGGAACAATAAAAGCCCTTGTGGAACTCCATCAAAAAGCGGTAGTCGGCAAAAAATGGGGACAATCGAAATTGGTCTGAAATTATATTGATATCGGCCTGGGTACCTCTCTTGGGTATTGAAATCACAAGTGCTACATTCAGTAACTGAGGAAACTCCCTAGTATTAATGATTAGTTTAAAGATGGCCGTCAGGGGTTAGACGAGTAAACTAGCATTACGCTTCGCAAAGTTAGCATTTAAACCATAAATGTCACAGCAGTTGCTGTTTTTTAGTTTACGTATGGCCTCTCGAACCACAATTTGCGATACAGCGCTAAGTCTGAAGCCAGTTGTGTTCTACAAGTTGCACTATTGAAGTAATCCATGGGATCACTAGTCCTTCGTGGAAGATTCTTGACTATAGTACGAGCACGAGCAGGCATTGAAGTCCTGAGGATTGTAAGTATACGTAACACTTATTAATAATAAATAGTTAGAAAAGGTCATGGGGTCTAGGAAAAATGTCATGTTCAGTAAATACAAGTGTAATGGACATTGAAAAAAGAAAAATTAGTATTTTCACGAAATATTCATTAGCTTTCAATATCAGAAGGCAAACAAGTTTTAGACGTAGTGCGCACCTTATAATTACGCTTTGTGAATAAGTAATTGTTAACCTTTTAAAATTGAAGCTTTCACAGCAATTGATACTAGAACAGAATGAGATCACACGACAGAACCAATTTTTTCTCAAAGTTTAAGAGCTTGGCAGAGATCACTGGGATTCCTTTACACGAAAATATTAGTGTGGTCGAAGGAATCTGTTTATGGATAGTGCCCTGCCTGGCATACTTATACATTGGTTTAAACTTTTATAGGAAGTGGAGCTTAACTGACGATATAGATGACTGCATGTATTCAGTCGCGATGGCGACAGGTAAATTATTATGATACAATTCTTTCTTACCACAGAGGACTTATTTCTTTAGCCACACAGTTTATTACGATAATGAGACTACAAAGACGAAGACTAGTTAACCTAATAACGATGTTGGAAGATGATCAAACCGTTTTTATGCGCTTATGTACTGAATCAATACGGCAATTGCGGCTAATTGCTAATACGCTGGTTCGTTTCAATGGTTCCGTACATTCATAAAACCATTATATATTTAAGGCTAGTCTGGTCCTTCCTGGCCTAATTTCCATTGATACTATTGGTTTTATCTCGTGGTATGTAACAGAAAGTGAAAAAAGGTTACCATTTGGTACAATGCCTAGTTGGACATTAGAACACAGTTATGGCATGTGCTTAGCTTACCAAGTTGGAATTTTCGTGTTTTCAGGAATAGATTACTTTATGCTGATTTCCATAAAGTGGTGCGTTTTTTTGCACTTACGAATACATTTTAAGTACTTGAACATCACTATCAGAGAAGTCACAGAAATTCGAATAGAGCAAGTTGTTGATGTCAATGAATCCGAGTTGTATTCCAGTTACACTGCAGGACGCAGTTCTTTGGACGAGCACGTTAGGGGAGTTATATGGAGATACAGTCACTTAAGTTTAATTGCCAACGAAGCGGAAAAAGCATTTAATAAGGGCGCTTTAAGTACTTTTATTAATCGATTTTTGTTTGCTTTGCTCTGTTCCGTATGTCAAATGTAGGTAAAGATAAAGTCTTCCGAATTTCCGTCTAATTTATCTCTTTAGATACACATATTCACCATGGAATTTTTGACACTGTCAGGATATATACTCACCATGTTTGCAGTAATATTCCTAGATAGCTATACCAATGCCAATCTAGTTTGTGCAGAAAGTGAAGCGCTGGTATACTCTTGCTACGAAACTGATTTTGTTGGCAGAGATCGAAAATTTCAGAAAGCTTTGGTATTACTGATGACTAGAGCACAAAAACCTGTAATTTTTACAATTGGAAATTTTGCACCCCTTTCCATGGAAACAGTTATTGTTGTAAGTAATGTAACTGACCAATTGAGGCGATTTAAATGTATATTTAGGTTCTTCAGCGTCATATTTTATGCTATTGCGCAACGTTAGAAGTGAAACTTCATAAGAAAATAAAAAAATTGGGCGCTTTTTGTAGTAACGATACTCGTCGAGAATAGAAGAACCTTACATTCTACACGGAGATTTCATTTTACAAAATTAATGAGATTCCAATTTTTCACATCGACCCACTAACATACCACAGTACCTACTGTCAACATAGCGTTATACCACAACGTGATTGCTTATCCTGGAAGGAACACTTTTTTAATCCACTTCCACAGAACTAACTGTTTGCAATGTTATTCAATTGTTCCTAGACATTTCGAAATACAGAACAAATTCGTTTCATTTTTCTTGGATAAGAATGATGTCGCTTATCTTAAATCCCGGCTTCATTTTTTATTTCTTCTCTTACTTAAGTATCGGTTTTGATCCTTGTTTAAATATATATAAATATATTCCATTTCCATTAACATTGGTCCAAAACCCGTAAACGTTTAAAATGTATATGAGAAATCCATGGGATAAATGAGCTCCTATCAGATTAAATAGTTTCTACTATGCATCTTCTGGTTTGCCCGGAGTATGACACACTTTTTGTCATTTTAAAAAGGATGCAGTGGTTCCTTTTTTATTAAGGCTTAGTTGAATTTGACATAAATTTCCACTATACGCCTAACTCGAAGGTATTAATTAGCGAATAGGCAAATTGCTTTTGAAATTCTTTGCATAAATGTATGTATAAATAAAGAAACCTTCGTTATACCTCAACTCGGTTTTCCTTTTTATCAATGCATTCCGCACTGGAAAATAAGGGCAGCTTTTAATTATACCTTTCACATAAAATTATAGATTTACAGAGAGTAGTGCAGCTATTTTTAGCAAAGAAAGGGACCAACCAACAAGAATGTTGTTTTGTAAATATTAAAGCAAATGTCAACTGAAAGTCTAGACCGCGCAATGAAAACGACCAGAATTTCACTAAATTTTCTTCGTACCTAAGAAAAATAGTTTAAAATAAACCGAAACATTACAGTTTATCAGAAAACATTGTTTCTTACCAACCATAGATTCCAACGATTTCGGTCAGCTAAATCCTTATTAATTATAAATGAATGGAAAAGGCCAGTGGGAAAGTATCAGGTCAAGGAAAAATGTCAGTTTCAGTAAATACAAGTAAAATGGACATTGAAAAAACAAAAAATTTATATTTTCACGAAATATTCATTAGGTTTCAATATCGGAAGGCAAACAGGTTTTATACGGAGCACCCACCTTATAATTATGCTTTGTGAATAAGTAATTAAAGTCTTTCAGAACTGAATCACACTTTGTATAAAATACGCGAACAGAAAACAATGGGATTATACGATGGAACTAATTTTTTCGCAAGGTTTAAAAGTTTGGCAATATTAACTGGGGTTCCTTTACACGAAAATATTAGTGTGGTCGAAGGAATCTGTTTATGGTTATTGCCAGGTCTGACATACTTATACATGGGTTTAAACTTTTATAGGAAGTGGAGCTTAACTGACGATATAGATGATTGCATGTATTCAATAGCGATTGCGACAGGTAAATTATTATGCTATAATTTTTTCTTAAGCAACATAGTACTTATTTTTTAGCTGCACCATTTATTACGATAATGAGACTCCAAAGACGAAGACTAGTTAACCTAATAGCGTTGTTGGAAGATGACCGAACCGTTGATATGCGATTTCATACTGAATCAATACCGCAATTGCGGTTAATTGCTAATACGCTGGTTCGTTTCAGAGGTTGCATACATTAATAAAACCATAATATCTTTAAGGCTGGCCTGGCGTTTCCAGTCGTAATGTTCCTTGATTCTATTGGTTTTCTCGCGTGGTATCTAACAGAAAATGAAAAAAGTTTACCATTTGGTACAATGCCTAGTTGGGCATTAGAACACAGTTACGGAATGTGCTTAGCTTTCCAAATTATAGTTTACTTTTTTCTAGGGATAGATGATGTTATGCTGGTTGCCATGAAATGGTGCGTCTTGTTGCACTTACGAATACATTTTAAGTACTTGAACATTACTATCAAAGAAGCCACAACAATTCAAAAAGAGGAAGTTTTTGATGTCAATGAATCAGAGTTGTATTCCAGTAACACTGCAGCACGGTTTCCTTTAGACGAGTACGTTAGAGGTGTTATATCGAGATACAATCGCCTAACTTTAATTGCTAATGAAGCGGATAGAGCATTTAATAAGGGCGCTCTAAGTCATTTTATTAATATATCGATTTTAGTTTGCTTTATTCTGTTCCGTATGTCAAATGTAGGTAAACATCAAGTCTTCTGAATTTTCGTCTAATTTACCTTTTTAGATACCTATATTCACCATGGAGTTTTTGAAACTATTTTGGTATCTACTCACAATGTTATCAATAATATTCCTAGATAGCTACTTGTGCAGTCTGGTTGTTGAAGAAAGTGAAGCGCTGGTGTATTCTTGCTACGAAACTGATTTTGTTGATAGAGATCGAAAATTTCAAAAAGCTTTGGTATTACTGATGACTAGAGCACAAAAACCTGTAATTTTTACAATTGGAAATTTTGCACCCCTTTCCATGGAAACAGTTATTATTGTGAGTAATGTAACTGAACAATTGAGGCTATTTAAATATACATTTAGGTTCTAAAGGCTTCAGTGTCATACTTTATGCTATTGCGCAACGTTAGAGGTGAAACTTCATAAGAAATTAAAAAAAATTGGGCACATTTCTCTCTGAGAATAGAAGAACTTTACGTTTTATAAGGAGATTTCATTTTAGGAAATTAATGAGATTCCAGTTTTGCACATCGACCCACTAACATACCAAGTACTGTCAACATAGTGTTATACCACAACGTGATTGGTTATCTTGAAAGGAACACTATTTTAATCCACTTCTACAATACTATCTGTTTGCACTGTTATTCAATTGTTTCAAAATAAAGAACAAGATTAAATTCGTTTCGTTATTCTTGGGTAAGATGATATAGAATATAGGTAATAGAACTACCCATTTTTTGTTGCGCATCCTTAGAGCTCCGATGTTAGTTAAAATGAGGTGCTAAATTCAAAGCCGAACCTTAAAGTGAAAGCACATTTGGGACAACTCTTTAGTTTTCATGATAAATAATTGGAAATAGTAACTTCATTTCACATCTTAATAAATTCAGTTTGGGATATTCTGTATCGTAGGCAGGTAACCATTTTTTTTCTTTAATTTCCACGTAAAGGTTGATTCTCACTATACGTAACGTTTCCATACCATATCCATTCCATAACCATTCCGTAAATTATTATACCTATGAAATTGATGGGTTGGTTGAGCTCCACCCAATTTCTAATGTACACTATCAACTCAACCCTGCATAAAATATGGGAAGATTAACGGATGCACAATAATGCACAATAACCACAAATGCAAATCAAATGGTTCTATATTGCTGGTTGCTTTCAAATAAATTGCAAAATAATATATAAGTGAAATTACACACTGCACAAATCATAAAACCCCCTAATTAATTCCCAAAAATTATATTCCAGTTCAAAAAAAAATGATTGCCCCCAATTACTGTTCCTTAATGATCGTTTAAGATTGATAAATGAATCACACATATAAATGACAAAATGGTTACGTTACTACCGGTCACAAATAGTAACGAAAATATCCCAACGCAAGTTCGGTAGCAACAAGGCAAATAAAATACAACGCTTACCTTACGTAATATTCCAGATGTGAGGCAGCAAAGAGAGCTCTGTTGCACCATTCATCTCTGCAATCAAAAGAGAACAAAAGGGGTCTAAACCCCAGGGTTCGCAATATATGAATAAATGTCTGAAGGACCTACGAAGCTTGCGGTAAGCTCAAATCTCGGTACCCCGCTAAAAATGTCTGTGTCTCTGATGGAGTGTCGCAGCCACACAAAAATTAATATATACGATCAAGCAAAAAAAAAAAGCATTCTCGATCATGTCGAAACAGTAGGTAGTTAAATGAGTTTCTCCCTCGTTTTCATAAAATGGACGCAGAACATTAGAATAAGCCAACGCTAGCCGACACTAATGTTGCATTATCCGCATAAAGCAAACATGAAACTTCGGCTGAAAAGCAAAGTGGCAAGTCGTGAATATAAGCGAGGAACAATAAAAGCCCTTGTGGAACTCCATCAAAAAGCGGTAGTCGGCAAAAAATGGGGACAATCGAAATTGGTCTGAAATTATATTGATATGGGCCTGGGTACCTCTCTTGGGTATTGAAATCACAAGTGCTACATTCAGTAACTGAGGAAACTCCCTAGTATTAATGATTAGTTTAAAGATGGCCGTCAGGGGTTAGACGAGTAAACTAGCATTACGCTTCGCAAAGTTAGCATTTAAACCATAAATGTCACAGCAGTTGCTGTTTTTTAGTTTACGTATGGCCTCTCGAACCACAATTTGCGATACAGCGCTAAGTCTGAAGCCAGTTGTGTTCTACAAGTTGCACTATTGAAGTAATCCATGGGATCACTAGTCCTTCGTGGAAGATTCTTGACTATAGTACGAGCACGAGCAGGCATTGAAGTCCTGAGGATTGTAAGTATACGTAACACTTATTAATAATAAATAGTTAGAAAAGGTCATGGGGTCTAGGAAAAATGTCATGTTTAGTAAATACAAGTGTAATGGACATTGAAAAAAGAAAAATTAGTATTTTCACGAAATATTCATTAGCTTTCAATATCAGAAGGCAAACAAGTTTTAGACGTAGTGCGCACCTTATAATTACGCTTTGTGAATAAGTAATTGTTAACCTTTTAAAATTGAAGCTTTCACAGCAATTGATACTAGAACAGAATGAGATCACACGACAGAACCAATTTTTTCTCAAAGTTTAAGAGCTTGGCAGAGATCACTGGGATTCCTTTACACGAAAATATTAGTGTGGTCGAAGGAATCTGTTTATGGATAGTGCCCTGCCTGGCATACTTATACATTGGTTTAAACTTTTATAGGAAGTGGAGCTTAACTGACGATATAGATGACTGCATGTATTCAGTCGCGATGGCGACAGGTAAATTATTATGATACAATTCTTTCTTACCACAGAGGACTTATTTCTTTAGCCACACAGTTTATTACGATAATGAGACTACAAAGACGAAGACTAGTTAACCTAATAACGATGTTGGAAGATGATCAAACCGTTTTTATGCGCTTATGTACTGAATCAATACGGCAATTGCGGCTAATTGCTAATACGCTGGTTCGTTTCAATGGTTCCGTACATTCATAAAACCATTATATATTTAAGGCTAGTCTGGTCCTTCCTGGCCTAATTTCCATTGATACTATTGGTTTTATCTCGTGGTATGTAACAGAAAGTGAAAAAAGGTTACCATTTGGTACAATGCCTAGTTGGACATTAGAACACAGTTATGGCATGTGCTTAGCTTACCAAGTTGGAATTTTCGTGTTTTCAGGAATAGATTACTTTATGCTGATTTCCATAAAGTGGTGCGTTTTTTTGCACTTACGAATACATTTTAAGTACTTGAACATCACTATCAGAGAAGTCACAGAAATTCGAATAGAGCAAGTTGTTGATGTCAATGAATCCGAGTTGTATTCCAGTTACACTGCAGGACGCAGTTCTTTGGACGAGCATGTTAGGGGAGTTATATGGAGATACAGTCACTTAAGTTTAATTGCCAACGAAGCGGAAAAAGCATTTAATAAGGGCGCTTTAAGTACTTTTATTAATCGATTTTTGTTTGCTTTGCTCTGTTCCGTATGTCAAATGTAGGTAAAGATAAAGTCTTCCGAATTTCCGTCTAATTTATCTCTTTAGATACACATATTCACCATGGAATTTTTGACACTGTCAGGATATATACTCACCATGTTTGCAGTAATATTCCTAGATAGCTATACCAATGCCAATCTAGTTTGTGCAGAAAGTGAAGCGCTGGTATACTCTTGCTACGAAACTGATTTTGTTGGCAGAGATCGAAAATTTCAGAAAGCTTTGGTATTACTGATGACTAGAGCACAAAAACCTGTAATTTTTACAATTGGAAATTTTGCACCCCTTTCCATGGAAACAGTTATTGTTGTAAGTAATGTAACTGACCAATTGAGGCGATTTAAATGTATATTTAGGTTCTTCAGCGTCATATTTTATGCTATTGCGCAACGTTAGAAGTGAAACTTCATAAGAAAATAAAAAAATTGGGCGCTTTTTGTAGTAACGATACTCGTCGAGAATAGAAGAACCTTACATTCTACACGGAGATTTCATTTTACAAAATTAATGAGATTCCAATTTTTCACATCGACCCACTAACATACCACAGTACCTACTGTCAACATAGCGTTATACCACAACGTGATTGCTTATCCTGGAAGGAACACTTTTTTAATCCACTTCCACAGAACTAACTGTTTGCAATGTTATTCAATTGTTCCTAGACATTTCGAAATACAGAACAAATTCGTTTCATTTTTCTTGGATAAGAATGATGTCGCTTATCTTAAAAGCCACGATGTGAGTAGTAGAAACATATCAAACCATGCATCTCCGACAATGGGGCCATCCCGGCTTCATTTTTTATTTCTTCTCTTACTTAAGTATCGGTTTTGATCCTTGTTTAAATATATATAAATATATTCCATTTCCATTAACATTGGTCCAAAACCCGTAAACGTTTAAAATGTATATGAGAAATCCATGGGATAAATGAGCTCCTATCAGATTAAATAGTTTCTACTATGCATCTTCTGGTTTGCCCGGAGTATGACACACTTTTTGTCATTTTAAAAAGGATGCAGTGGTTCCTTTTTTATTAAGGCTTAGTTGAATTTGACATAAATTTCCACTATACGCCTAACTCGAAGGTATTAATTAGCGAATAGGCAAATTGCTTTTGAAATTCTTTGCATAAATGTATGTATAAATAAAGAAACCTTCGTTATACCTCAACTCGGTTTTCCTTTTTATCAATGCATTCCGCACTGGAAAATAAGGGCAGCTTTTAATTATACCTTTCACATAAAATTATAGATTTACAGAGAGTAGTGCAGCTATTTTTAGCAAAGAAAGGGACCAACCAACAAGAATGTTGTTTTGTAAATATTAAAGCAAATGTCAACTGAAAGTCTAGACCGCGCAATGAAAACGACCAGAATTTCACTAAATTTTCTTCGTACCTAAGAAAAATAGTTTAAAATAAACCGAAACATTACAGTTTATCAGAAAACATTGTTTCTTACCAACCATAGATTCCAACGATTTCGGTCAGCTAAATCCTTATTAATTATAAATGAATGGAAAAGGCCAGTGGGAAAGTATCAGGTCAAGGAAAAATGTCAGTTTCAGTAAATACAAGTAAAATGGACATTGAAAAAACAAAAAATTTATATTTTCACGAAATATTCATTAGGTTTCAATATCGGAAGGCAAACAGGTTTTATACGGAGCACCCACCTTATAATTATGCTTTGTGAATAAGTAATTAAAGTCTTTCAGAACTGAATCACACTTTGTATAAAATACGCGAACAGAAAACAATGGGATTATACGATGGAACTAATTTTTTCGCAAGGTTTAAAAGTTTGGCAATATTAACTGGGGTTCCTTTACACGAAAATATTAGTGTGGTCGAAGGAATCTGTTTATGGCTATTGCCCTGTCTGGTATACATATACATCGGTTTAAACTTTTATAGGAAGTGGAGCTTAACTGACGATATAGATGATTGCATGTATTCAATGGGGATTGCGACAGGTAAATTATTATGCTATAATTTTTTCTTAAGCAACATAGTACCTACTTATTTTTTAGCTGCACCATTTATTACGATAATGAGACTCCAAAGACGAAGACTAGTTAACCTAATAGCGTTGTTGGAAGATGACCGAACCGTTGATATGCGATTTCAAACTGAATTGCGGTTAATTGCTAATACGCTGGTTCGTTTCAGAGGTTGCATACATTAATAAAACCATAATATCTTTAAGGCTGGCCTGGCGTTTCCAGTCGTAATGTTCCTTGATTCTATTGGTTTTCTCGCGTGGTATCTAACAGAAAATGAAAAAAGTTTACCATTTGGTACAATGCCTAGTTGGGCATTAGAACACAGTTACGGAATGTGCTTAGCTTTCCAAATTATAGTTTACTTTTTTCTAGGGATAGATGATGTTATGCTGGTTGCCATGAAATGGTGCGTCTTGTTGCACTTACGAATACATTTTAAGTACTTGAACATTACTATCAAAGAAGCCACAACAATTCAAAAAGAGGAAGTTTTTGATGTCAATGAATCAGAGTTGTATTCCAGTAACACTGCAGCACGGTTTCCTTTAGACGAGTACGTTAGAGGTGTTATATCGAGATACAATCGCCTAACTTTAATTGCTAATGAAGCGGATAGAGCATTTAATAAGGGCGCTCTAAGTCATTTTATTAATATATCGATTTTAGTTTGCTTTATTCTGTTCCGTATGTCAAATGTAGGTAAACATCAAGTCTTCTGAATTTTCGTCTAATTTACCTTTTTAGATACCTATATTCACCATGGAGTTTTTGAAACTATTTTGGTATCTACTCACAATGTTATCAATAATATTCCTAGATAGCTACTTGTGCAGTCTGGTTGTTGAAGAAAGTGAAGCGCTGGTGTATTCTTGCTACGAAACTGATTTTGTTGATAGAGATCGAAAATTTCAAAAAGCTTTGGTATTACTAATGACTAGAGCACAAAAACCTGTAATTTTTACAATTGGAAATTTTGCACCCCTTTCCATGGAAACAGTTATTATTGTGAGTAATGTAACTGAACAATTGAGGCTATTTAAATATACATTTAGGTTCTAAAGGCTTCAGTGTCATACTTTATGCTATTGCGCAACGTTAGAGGTGAAACTTCGTAAGAAAATAAAAAATTGGGCGCTTTTTGTAGTAACGACACTCGTCGAGAATAGAAGAACCTTACATTCTACACGGAGATTTCATTTTACAAAATTAATGAGATTCCAGTTTTTCACATCGACCCACTAACATACCACAGTACTGTCAACATAGCGTTATACCACAACGTGATTGGTTATCCTGGAAGGAACACTTTTTTAATCCACTTCCACAGAACTAACTGTTTGCACTGTTATTCAATTGTTCCTAGACATTTCGAAATAAAGAACAAATGTGTTTCGTTTTTCTTGGATAAGAATGATGTCGCTTATCTTAAAAGCCACGATGTGAGTAGTAGTAGAAACATATCAAACAATGCATCTCCGACACTGGGGCCATCCCGGCTTCATTTTTTATTTCTTCTCTTACTTAAGTATCGGTTTTGATCCTTGTTTAAATATATATAAATATATTCCATTTCCACTAACATTGGTCCAAAACTCGTAAACGTTTAAAATGTATATGAGAAATCCATGGGATAAATGAGCTCCTATCAGATTAAATAGTTTCTACTATGCATCTTCTGGTTTGCCCGGAGTATGACACACTTTTTGTCATTTTAAAAAGGATGCAGTGGTTCCTTTTTTATTAAGGCTTAGTTGAATTTGACATAAATTTCCACTATACGCCTAACTCGAAGGTATTAGCGAGTAGACAAATTGCTTTTGAAATTCTTTGCGTAAATGTATGTATAAATAAAGAAACCTTCGTTATACGACAACCCGGTTTTCTTTTTATGGAATTTTTGAAAAAATGCGCTATTATATTCGTTATGGCTGGCTGGCCGACTGTCCGGGTAAGATCTCAGCAACTATAATAGCTAGAAACTTCAAATTTTCACTAAAAGCTTTCTGCTATAGTGTAGATGTGCAGGCACTCATCTAAATTGAGTTAGATTACTTGTGAGATCGACAATTTCGATATGATTTTTGGAGGTGCTAAGTGCTATAATTTTACCGTTAGATAGCGCTACCAGTATAAAAACTTAATTATTTACTTTGTGATTTGTTTTACAAAATAAAGACGTACCCTCAATTGAAATTAAATAAAATTAATTATTTAACGCAGCCAAAATTACTCGTGAGATCGATAATTTTAAACTTCGCTAATAAAATACTGACCTGTGTTACCAAAAATGCGCTTTAATCATGCATATGCTGATTTACAACTTGTTTATCAATATCAATGCATTCCGCACTGGAAAATAAGGGCAGCTTTTAATTATACCTTTCACATAAATTTATAGATTTACAGAGAGTAGACTGTGCAGCTATTTTTAGCAAAGAAAGGGACCAACCAACAAGAATGTTGTTTTGAGACATTGTCGTTCAACTATTTGAGAATTCTATAAAACAAATGTCAACTGAAAGTCTAGACCGCGCAATGAAAACGACCAGAATTTCACTAAATTTTCTTCGTACCTAAGAAATATAGTTTAAAATAAACCGAAACATTACTGTTTATCAGAATACATTGTTTCTTACCAACCATAGATTCCAACGATTTCGGTCAGCTAAATCGTTATTAATTATAAATGAATGGAAAAGGCCAGTGGGAAAGTATCAGGTCTAGGAAAAATGTCAGTTTCAGTAAATACAAGTAAAATGGACATTGAAAAAACAAAAAATTAATATTTTCACGAAATATTCATTAGGTTTCAATATCGGAAGGCAAACAGGTTTTATACGGAGCACCCACCTTATAATTATGCTTTGTGAATAAGTAATTAAAGTCTTTCAGAACTGAATGACACTTTGTATAAAATACGCGAACAGAAAACAATGGGATCATACGATGGAACTAATTTTTTCGCAAGGTTTAAAAGTTTGGCAACATTAACTGGGGTTCCTTTAAAGGAAAATATTGGTGTGGTCGAAGGAATCTGTTTATGGCTATTGCCCTGTCTGGTATACATATACATCGGTTTAAACTTTTATAGGAAGTGGAGCTTAACTGACGATATAGATGATTGCATGTATTCAATGGGAATTGCGACAGGTAAATTATTATGCTATAATTTTTTCTTAAGCCACATAGTACTTATTTTTTAGTTGCACAATATATTACGATAATGAGACTCCAAAGACGAAGACTAGTTAACCTAATAGCGTTGTTGGAAGATGACCGAACCGTTGATATGCGATTTCAAACTGAATTGCGGTTAATTGCTAATACGCTGGTTCGTTTCAGAGGTTGCATACATTAATAAAACCATAATATCTTTAAGGCTGGCCTGGCGTTTCCAGTCGTAATGTTCATTGATTCTATTGGTTTTATCGCGTGGTATCTAACAGAAAGTGAGAAAAGTTTACCGTATGGTACAATGCCTAGTTGGGCATTAGAATACAGTTACGACATGTGCTTAGCCCTCCAAATTGGAGTTTTCTTTTTTTTAGGGATAGATTACGTTATGCTGGTTGCCTTGAAATGGTGCGTCTTGTTGCACTTACGAATACATTTTAAGTACTTGAACATTACTATCAGAGAAGCTACAAAAATTCAAAAAGAGGAAGTTTTTGATGTCATTGAATCAGAGTTGTATTCCAGTAACACTACAGCACGGTTTTCTTTAGACGAGAACGTTAGAGGTGTTATATCGAGATACAGTCGCCTAGCTTTAATTGCTAATGAAGCGGAGAGAGCATTTAATAAGGGCGCTTTAAGTAATTTTATTAATATATCGATTTTTGTTTGCTTTATCCTGTTCCGTATGTCAAATGTAGGTAAACATCAAGTCTTCTGAATTTTCGTCTAATTTACGTTTTTAGATACCAGTATTCACCATGGAGTTTTTGAAACTATTTTGGTATCTACTCACAATGTTATCAATAATATTCCTAGATAGCTACTTGTGCAGTATGGTTGTTGAAGAAAGTGAAGCGCTGGTGTATTCTTGCTACGAAACTGATTTTGTTGATAGAGATCGAAAATTTCAAAAAGCTTTGGTATTACTGATGACTAGAGCACAAAAACCTGTAATTTTTACAATTGGAAATTTTGCACCCCTCTCCATGGAAACAGTTATTATTGTGAGTAATGTAACTGAACAATTGAGGCTATTTAAATATACATTTAGGTTCTAAAGGCTTCAGTGTCATACTTTATGCTATTGCGCAACGTTAGAGGTGAAACTTCATAAGAAATTAAAAAAAATTGGGCACATTTCTCTCTGAGAATAGAAGAACTTTACGTTTTATAAGGAGATTTCATACCAAGTACTGTCAACATATAGTGTTGTACCACAAAGTGATTGGTTACCCTATTACACTATTTTAATCCACTTCCACAGTACTAACTTTTGCACTGTTATTATTCAATTGTTCCTAGACATTTCAAAATAAAGAACAAGTGCAATAGTTTAACGTTATTAGCTGGCGGTGCGTTATTGTTATTATATTGTAAAAATGCCGTTAATAAAAACCCACAGACACTAAACTCTAAACCGAGCACCAAAAATGATCAATTTTCTTCGTACAATTTCTAAACACCTATAAAAGATAATAGAAAACCATTAGCGATCGTTGGTTTATCAGAAAGAATTGTTTGTTTCATACCACCCATGGATCTGTTTCCATTTTATCTGACTGGAGAAGAAATGCAATTTGACCTAGAAAGGTTTTTTAAAACTAAAATCGAAAAACGAAATCTTGAGCTAGCCGTGGGAAATTTTTTGCAAGAAATTAACATTATTTGAAAATCTAAATTTCATAGTAGTACCAGCTGGCATTGCAGTCCTGAAATTTTAACTACATATCAATATACCTATACCAAATATAATAAATAGATTGAAATGGAAATTTTGGAACATAAATAGGGGTATTATACAAATTATAACTAATAGAGGATTATTTAATTCTTATTCTTACAAAATTAAAAAAAGTGAAACCAACATGTGTACGTGCGAAAATGGAATAGAAAGTGCTGAACATTTATTATACGAATGTGAAGAATTCAAAATTGAGAGAGACTTTAAAGATTTATTGGAATCGAAAGGAATCATTATTTGGCATGTTAACAAAAATCAATGTTTGCAAGAAAAAATTATTAGAAGCATTTTCGGAAATTTTTGCAGCAAAATTCAAAAAAGAAAATTAAGCAAAATTTTAAATAAAACTATTAAATAAATTTACAGGGACCTCCAAGTGGTTAGGGACGGGCAACGAAGTCTAGGTAAACCTTTTTAAGGCAATAAAAATCCTAGATACGGCCAACTCCTGTAAAATTAAGAAAAGGCTTATAGATAATAGGGGATATGCTGGAAGGCATGAGTACCTTTAAAACTAACAAAAAAAAACTATACGTTACACTTATTAATAATAAATACTTTGAAAAGACCAGTGGGAAACTAGCAAGTCTATAGGAAAAATGTCAGTAAATACAAGTAAAATGAACCTTTTAGAAAAAAGAAAAATTAATATTTTCACGAAATATTCATTAGGTTTCATTATTGGAAGCAAACAACTTTTATACGCAGCACCCACCTTATAATTATGCTTTGTGAATAAGTAATTGTTAGCCTTTCAGAACGGGAAGCTTTTAACTTTGTTAAATGAAAAGGACACTTTCTATACATCCCGATACTAGAATAGAATGGGATCACACGACAGAACTAATTTTTTCTCAAAGTTAAAGAGCTTGGCAAAATTTACTGGGGTTTCTTTAAACGAAAATATTGGTGTGGCAGAAGCAATCTGTTTATGGCTACTGCCCTGTCTGGTATACATATACATCGGTTTAAGCTTTTATAGGAAGTGGAGCTTAACTGACGACATCGATGACTGCATGTATTCAGTCGCGATTGCAACAGGTGCGTATTATGAAATATTTTTTTTAAGCCATCGACTATATACATATTTCTGTAGCTACACTGCTACACAGTTTATTACGATAATGAGACTCCAAAGACTAAGACTAGTTAACCTAATAGCATTGTTGGAAGATGACCGCACCGTTGATATGCGATATCGTACTGAATCAATACCGCAATTGTGGCTGATTGCTAATACGCTGGTTCGTTTCAATGGTTGCATATGTT